ACTCTTTCAAAAGCTATTTCAGATCCGATTTTTTTTTTTTTTTTTTTCCAATAGACATCTGATAAAGGTTTCTTTTTCTAAAATGGAGAGGAGGGAATGCATCCATTCAAATGAGAAAGTTATTTTCCAGTTTACACAATAAAGGATCTATCATCTTCCAAAAAGTAACATAGCTTTGTTTATCACTACAACGAAACGATGCATTTAAATGAGTAAGTCACCTAAGATTTTGCTATTTTTCGATGATAACCAATTTTACTATTCAAATCATTCGTAAAACTTATACAAGTGTTCTATATAATATGAACAGTGCCGCCAGAGCCGGATGGTTCAACTGGTGCGGTAGCACCAGGTAGCAGAATTTAAAGGAGGTAAAATTTTTGAAATTTAGAGAAATATCGAACAGTAATAAAATTTACGGGATGCCAAAACTTTTAGAATTTAGGGTAGACAGTGAGCAACAGAATTTACGAGTAGAGAAAATTTTTAGAATTTAGGGAAGGACTGTTCACCAGAATTCAGGAGCCACAGAGGTTCCACATGTCGACAAAATGCTTGCATCAGTTCTGTCTATGTGTCACCGTCATATATAATACAGATCACTAAACACAATGAATAATTCAAATAAACGCATCAGGTGCCAATTTCTAAAAATGTTATTACTGTTTACATCTTCAGAATAAAAGACGCTTCTAATGCCAGATAGATATTCTATATCCTGAATGCACAGTTTCTAATTCTCTTAGCATAAACCACTGTCTGCCATAAAAAATATTTAAAAAATTTGTAAAATCCTATAGAAACATACAGAATTTTATCATATATAGTATTATGTATGATCATTACACATCTATTCCGTCAATTCAATGTGTTGTTTGTTTGGTAGTATTTTGTGTTTGTGTTGTTCTTATACATGTACCTTTCCTTATTTTTGTTTTCTTATACTAACATATATTTTTCTTGGTTAGTTATTTTTGGTTTTATGGGTGCCCCTTTCAAATCATAAGATCACTTCGTGATCAGGTGGGTGGGGAGCACTCCGGCAATCTTAATCTTAATCTATTCCGTATTATCGATCGCGACTGCAACCAAGCAACTTATATGTTATACTGTGGCAACAATTTATCCGCTATTTTTTCTCTATTGGCAGCAATCTAATACAATTTGTTTATGTGCTCATGCACGTAGTTCATTTTTACTTCCTGGTATTAAGTAAAGGAATTATTTCAATCCTGAAATATTTCCGGCTAACATATTTCGACGGAAATATCCATTCTGACCGTTTCCGAATCCATTTTGGCTATTTTTGTGCATAACGTCTGTAGGGAATAACAGAATAAAGGGCCCTTCCCCCCCAAAAAAAAACGGAATATAAAAATGATTTTTTTCTTTAAGCCTATACGTATACATCTCACTTAACTCAAACAAGATTAGTCACAAAACGTTAAAATTTTGTGTTTGGAACTGTTATAACATCTAGTTGTGCACCTCCCTTTCTTTTCTTGCAATTGGAAATACTATTGGCTTCTTTCGAGAAATCGGTTAATTAAATTAGAATAATTCGAGGAAATAAGTTTAAATGAGTGCAGCAAAAAATGTGTATAATTTAATAGCCCGTACAAGGTAGTCGTGCGGTGTTTCACATCATATTTTTTTTATATTAATTGCATGTTAATTAAAGTTTTTGCGATCAAATTTTTGTTCATAACATAACATGAGGATCCATAGCATAACGGCATAAGCACAAATGTGTTTATTAATACGATTTATTATACAAACTTCATACCTTACTCCTTCCGTCATTGATCATTACAGTCATAACCCTGATCCGCCGTTCGTAGCGGTCTGATTCTTGTTTGTAATTTAAAGTGTATGCGAAATGATAAACAGCCTCTGGCAGATGTGAAAATACAATTACTTGACGTATTAACGCAATCGCCTTGAGCAGTTTGGAGAATTTTATAGAAGAAAAAGAACGATGTCTTATAAAATTAAATAATTATTTATTACGTAGCAACACATTATTAGAGATATATTTTATTTAGTATTTATCTTAAAAACTATCCATAAACGTACTTGTATGAGGGCTTCTGTTTTTTTCATTCTTTCGGCTTTCGTGGTGGCTTTTGGCTTCACAAAATTCAAAACAATTCTTTAGGGACTTGCAGCAAAATATTCCATTCTGTTAAAAATTGTATTGTAATTTGTTCCAGCCGCGCAAGGAAATTTTTAAAATTGAGTTAGAGATAAAAAAATATCACAATTTGTGTATAAAAACCCTTGGAATTTAAAATACAATATCAACTAAAAAAAAAAAATCGCAGACTAAAACGGCCACGTTGAAAGCTGAAGAACTGTCATACGTATGGTCAGACAGTTGCGCGCGTGTTGGCCATAGTGTGGCGTATTCTGAAACTTAACAATTTTACAAAGGTTGTTGTGATAATACGTAAGCACCAAATATTGCCAATGAAATAAGCTAAGCACTATATCCCCACACTAATCACGACTGCATGCACAAACAATACAACTTTCCTGAAAGATATGATTGATAGGCAGTGAATGAAAATGGTCATCTTCGGAACCTGTGATGTACGTTCTCAGGCTACAGGTCGCTCCTCAAAATTACGCTTTTTTTTTTTAATTTATCTTTTCCCGTTGTAGCTATAAAAGTGTTAGCAGGTGATCTGACTCCTCCTCTACCCCCACGTAAACAGCTTTTCCCGTGAAATTTTATTTCAACTCTCTCCCTGTTCTCATTAGCGACATTCTACCCGAAGCTCATAATTTTTATATACCCTTGTTTTCACTACTAATTACCTTACAAAAGCTTCCAGGCGCAATACTAGTGCCAGTGCTTCTGAACTTTTTAGAAAAGCTGTGATTTATCCATTAAAGAGAAAGCAAAAATTTTGGTGGGGGAAATTTTAGATTATAGTATTAACACAATATATGAAGACAATTTTTTAATATTGATAATATCTTTCTATACCAAATTTATTACTTCACTTTGGCTATCTTTATATATGTTTCATTTTGCAACTCATTTTTCACATAAAGTGTCGGTTCCAACAGTAAACAGTAAACACTCTTGTCCTATTTACCCTTGTTTTCACTACTGATTTTTTTCTTTATCGATATTTTAAAATAATTTTCGTTGCGGATAAAATCGTAATCTTGGTTGCGACATAAACAATAAGTGTCTATAAAAAATAATCATCATTCCTTAACGAACAGCAATAATTTTTTGATATTTTATTTTGGCGATTTCTTTGCCACCACCAACTGGGAATTAACCAAAATACTCTTAACAAATCTGCAATGGAAAAATAAATTGATTAAAAATTAAATCCTTCTCATGTGTTAAACTAGAATCTGAAGAAATCAGACTGCAGATTGCCCTTCTTCAAGATAATATTTCCAAACATAGTCCATTTCTTGATCAATTAAGTTTAAAAAATAACTAAAATGAAAAATTACAATACGCCCAAAGAAGCGTTTTTTGCGCTACCTTTATTAATTAAATATCATGTTCTTCGTACTTAAACCAAAAAATTCAATTCAACAGCAGTATGGCAAAATAATTTTAAAATGAGCATATCTTTAGAATTTCGGATACAATCTCGCGCACTAGAGATTAATTTTTTTTTTTTCGTGCATTGTTGCCATTTCTCACTTTGAAATCGCTGAGTTAGTTAATCAAAAATTCTTTAATGTCTTACAAAATATTAAATAGATAATAAAACAAATTTTAAATTAGGGCTTCCAGATGCCCATATTTGATGGAGGATAACGTTATTCTAAATTTGATGGCTCTAGGTACCGTTGTTTTATCACAATGTGAGAAACATACATACATTTATGCAGATTCCTCATTACTTAATTTCTTTAAATATAATACAGGGCTGTAACATTTAGTGGCAAGAGTTCGATAAGTGAATCAACGCGAAATGCCAAACAGAATTTAATAGCCCTTCTGGGCTAAAAATCCGTTCAATAAGACAGACCACTTTTAACAGATATAGTAGTGGCATCGATATGATTTTCGAGGAAATTAAATTCTACCAAAAGCATTAATTTTTCAAATTGCAAGTAAATTTCCTAATTACGAAATAGTGTCAATGCAATACTATATTTTTTAAATATATTAAAGCATTAACGTTAAAAGAATACGAAAATCGTAACATTGTTTTAGTATAAATGAAAATCAATCATGGCTTCTTAATACTTAATATATTATTTAAATAATAAATTATAAATATAATTCTACGTTTAATTATAATTACTCAGAATGCTGGAAAACCTTTAACTTCTCCCCTTAACTGAATTTCTAATAATACAATAAACTAATAGGATTATACTCCGTATTTATTTTTTTATTATTATAAAATTATTAAATTTTTTGTTATTATAAAATTATTTATTATTATAATATTTATTTTTTCAATAAATACTATAAACGCATACAGAATTTTAAAAGTGCCGAGATGTCATTTAAAATGTGAAAAATATGCGAGCTCGTATAAAATTTAGGTATGTGCTTACTGTTAATACAATATTATTGCAGGAATTTACTTCAGCTTATCATATAATATTTTCGAGTGCTGAAACAAAATTCAAATTTAGTGGCTTCATTATAATTTTTTATTAATATCCATTAGTATTAACGCAACTGTTATAGATCTGCCAGCTGTCGCAACAGAATAAGTTTTATAAATTTGCATTGCTGTAAAATTAAAATTTATAAATTTCTAAAAAAGAAAATTTTGTTGCCAACACTAATTCTTAAAAATTCATTTGATGCATACATCAAAATAATCTTGTGAAAATAAGATAACATTTCAAAACAAAAATATGTAAGATGTCTAATGAAATCCAAATAGAATTCCGTTATAAGCTTCAACAAATGGAACTCATTTACTTCTCTAGTTCAATTCTGCAGGGGGAAAAGGAGGATGACAGGTGGAAGAACAGCAAAAGATTCAAAGCGTTTTACTCACCTGTTCCGACCTGCGTTTCAGTAATGTACACAGAGGAGAAAACCGGTAAAATCAGAATAATTTTCACACTTTTTCAATAAAAATCACCCAGCAAAATATCCATAGCTCCAGTACTTTAATATTGAAAAATCAATATGGAAAGGCAAGATCTGTTATATATCCCATTTCATAAAGAATTATAATCCGGCGGATATTTCTCACTTGATTACTCAAACAACAACACAACACGTACTTTCGCCTTCCGAACAAGCCTCAACTGAGAGCCCAACTGAGCACCGAAGGAACGATTCCACTTCCACGCAGAAGGAAAGCACGAAAATCGGTATCTGCGCATGTAGGCGGGGCGAAGGAACCGGAAGTGCCATTCTCGGTGTTGTCTGAACCTGCGCGGTAGCATCTTTGTCTTTTATCTGTGGGAGTTTGTTATCGGAGTCGGTAATTTAACTTGGCAGTTGAGTATCATGTTCTGAGCTTACTCCCCGTCGTATTTTCACAGAAGTCGTAATGAAGACAAAGACAGGGTAGAGTTCTATAATGAAGAGCAGCTCTTTTATAGACTAGTAATAGACATTTCAAGGTCCTTTGTTAGAATCTCCAATGATTCAATGGTTACTATTTTACCATTTGTGATGTTGGTTTTATAACGCGCAGGAGCATGCATACCTATTAGTAAGGTTCTCCCCTTTTTTTTAAAGACTTTTTTTTCAATATAATTTTTTAATTTAATGTGAAATATCGCTGTAAATATGATTTTCTTTAAATTTTTGTAATTTCCGCAAAATATTATTATGTAATAATTCCATACATAGCAAAATGAACTCCTCGTTTTAAATTTTTGCATGAGTTGCATGAAAACACAGTTGAATTGGATAGCAGAGATTGATGGATTGCTCTAATTTGTTCTCCCCCCTTTGATTTAAATCTTAAACTAACATGTTTTAAAACATTCATTCCTTTCTTTAATTTTACGAAAGTTCTAAATATGACTAAAACCTGCTACCTTATGCAATTTCGAGAACTTATTTCGGATGTGGGGCTGGTAAAATAAAATTTTAAAAATAAATAAGAAGGCGCTTTCAATCTGTACATTGTGATGAAGTTTTATTTTTTATGCAGAAGAAAGGTTAGTCAGAGATAAATTCTGTTGCGCAAATTATGTCTGCGCATACATACGACCTTAGAAATGTTTAATTACACTAGCAGTTCCAGGAAACTGGCAATTTGTAATAGCAATAATTGGGTTCAACATGTGTACTTATTTTTTAAGTTCTGCTGGAAATATCCTTATGAATGTTTTCATTGGTACAATTCCGTTTTCGGGACCGTACGAATCGCAGCCAATGCTCAGAAGCGCCAAATCTAGATAATGCGCCGATTTAGATGCAAACAGCATGTAAATGTAGATTTCTCTAAATGATAAGCATTATCCCAATAAATCTAATGCTGACACATCCATATTTTTCGTGCCTCGAATTCTCTTAAATCACGAAAATAATAATACACTTTAAATGCAGAATTTCAAAGCATTGCTTCCGTAAAATTAAAAAATAAAAAAAAAAAAAAAAAGCAACGTGATTTGTCGTGATTGTCAATACCTACGCACTGGATATGAGTAACTTAAAGAATAAAGCGAAAACTATGATTTTATTGTTCGACCTTTCTAAGTGAGTGTTATCAGGATAAAATACTTAGGAAAGGCTTTTCGATTCTGACATTGGCATTGCAACAGCAACCGATGGATTTCCAGGAATCTTCCAGCTCGGCAGCGGTAATGAAAGTAGTGTCTGAAACGCGCTTTCAATAATATTTGAAAGAATGGCGGAACAGCGATGCGATCTTAAAATTCTAACCTTTCTGTCAAAGAAAAGACAACTGTGATTTCTGGATTTCCGCATTATTATTTTTTCAATGTTGGCAACTCAACCAGAACTACAGCAATGTACTAATTCTATTTCGAGATTCAGGTTTTATCACGTTGTGGTTGATCCATTCCTGAACTGGAAGCGGAGTCCCTGCAGTTGTGGGAATTGGGAGGCCGATTTAGTGGTACATTCAACAATAAATTTTAGGTTTCCTTGTTTCGCGAACTTAATAGCACTGCAAGTTCCCCCCCCCCTCCTCAGAACCAAGCGCGGAGGTTCAACCTTCGCTTTGGCAACGGCTTTGGCCCCTCAGAGAAAGAAGCGCACCGCCCGGGAAAAATCTGCCAAACGGCACTGGTCGTTAATTTGCTACCTACCAGTCGCCCGGGCTGCCCGTCGCAGTGGGAGATTACCCAGCATACCCGGGAACGCTACTCTCCCGGGCTACTAGTACTACGCCGCGCTAAGACGTGCCAGACCACCAGGACGGTCAATGAATGACCTTTCCTGGGCCTTCAGAACCACCAAGTTCATAAATTTTATACACCCGTGGCGGTCCCCCGCCGGGGGTTGACGTAGAGAACTCTGCGAAGTTACTGGCAAGGATCTGTACCTAGGCAGTCTCGGCCACGGGGGTATAAAATTTATGAACTTGGTGGTTCTGAAGGCCCTGGGAAAGGTCACTTATTGGCCGACCTCGGGGTCTGGCATGTTCTGAGAGCGGTGTCCTCCCCCGGCTACGGTTCCACACCGCTCAGATAGTATTTGGTGGCAACAATTTGAAAAGTAACCCGACATTTAAAGTTTCCAAAGCAAAATGTCAAAACGAAATTAATAGCCCTTTTGGGCTAACGCCCTTTCGGCTAAAAATGTAATTTTTTGTTGAGAAATCTAGTTAAATGATCTCCACATCTGCCTCATCTTCTAAAACTGCTTATTTATTTCTGAGCTCTTGATGCTGTTTCTGTCATGTTAACTTTAAGCAGTCATGGTGCGACTGGGGTTTTAGGGGACCCATTTGCCAAATCCTGGTGGTGAAGAATCATCATTCGCCCCCTTTTAGTTCGGGCGCCACTGTAGCGACATTATTTTTGAAGAAGGAGACATCAAATATGAGCAACGCCCTCGCCGGAATCGAACCATGGACCTCTGGAATACGCGCCGATCGTCCGGACCACTCCACCACGAAGGCATGCTAAGAAGGCGGGAGAAATATCTTATAAGTTTACTACTTGAAAATTTTTTACGTTTCATGTTCTTTTAATAATTTCTGACAGTACAACATATCAAGAGTTCGTTCATCAATTAATATTTTTGACTATAACTTAAGACAACAAGCATTTATTTTGTAAGTGTTTATTTTCTCTCCTTAATCAATTTGTCAGTACACCGACGACACAGTCTGCTAATCTGTTTCTTTCTTGTTTGTCAACAGTGATCTATTATCTATGCTTTTTAACCCTGAACTCTGAAAGTTCTTGGCAACTAATAAGCTTTAAAAATCACGATCTTTCTTAAATCTAGTGACTAAAAGAAGGAACGTAGTATCTGATATTTATAAATAAGTATTTTGTTACACTTAAAGTAAACCACTAGGCTTTCTTGTTAGATTTCGAAACGCAAGATAGGGGCCGTGGTCTTAATGTTTAAAGCCTTGTGAGTTTAATGACTTATAAACAAGCAAATTTTTAGTCTAGCCAATTATTTGTCATATAAAACATAATTAGTTCTTTAAATTTCATAATTTATTTCAACATTCGTTTGACTACAGTCAACAAAAGCTTACTACTGTTGGATCTTAACACTTATCACTGTCTTCATTCTGCAAAAGCTGAATACCTGAAGTCGGTTGTCAGTGTACATCCAGATTTTCAAAATATTAATTATATAAACCTCTCTTCAGCCAACCGTGAAGAACCGGTGCTCACCCCTCTCTTTAAATCTCCAATCTTGCTTTCGATAACAACTTTACGTGAGCTGCCATCCGACGCCCCCCTGGTCTTCTCGGATTATTAAGCGTGTGAAAACAGCTTGTTTAAATCTTTGGGCGTTCTACTGAGTTGGCAATAAAAGTAAAATGTAGGGTAAGGGCATCAGATACGCGACCGATTTGGGACTGCCGTGTGATTTACTTCTTTATTTATTTATTTTTTTTCCCTTCCTTCACCTTTACGAAATTCAGTTGGAAATTCTTTGTTGCATAAGCAGACAGTCCAGACAACAAAAGAATCTTTCTTTTGTCCTTTTTTTTCTTTATGTGCATTTTAAGAGGGGAACAAATAAAATAAAATCCCACACTGCAGCTTTATTAAATTTCCTTTTCGTTCATTTAAATTCCCTCCGTTACACAATCCTGTTCTAGTAACAGGAGTTTAGTTTGAGCTTCGCTGAAAAGAAATTCGATTTAATAAAAATGGAAAGGAAAAATAAATACCTAATTAGGTTCTAAAAACTATTATACTCAGTTCTTTTAAAGCATTTTTGTTTTTACATTTCTTTATTATTTAGAAATAGATATGTAATACGAAATATCAACAAATGATCTCTAAATGCAAAACAATGGTTATAAAATCTCCGACTCCAAGACGTCTCTTTAAGTATACTTATTATAGGTTACTTCATTTGTGGTGCATTGAAAAAATTGCTTAAAGTGCATCAACTACCGAAAATGGGAGCGTCAAAAATTTTGATAAGTTATATACATTTTATTTTATTATTATTATCATTATTTTCAGTACATATTCTAAACAGTGTTTTGCCATTCTAAGAAGAAAGCTGCCATTTGTCTAAAACTTATTTTGAAATTACTTACGCAAAATTTTTGAAACTGAAAGCTATGCTTTACTATAGCATCAAAATTTATATGCATTAATTCTAGCACATTGTATTGTCATAATTAAGTTTTCGCTTATTCGAACTGGCATCAACAGCAGTGTCTTCACTGAATTTAAGTTTGTAATGAAATTTTTGCTTTACTGCAGATAAATAACTTTTCATAATAATAAGTTACAGATACTATAAATGAAAAAAAGAGAGATTGAGATGACATCACCTGGTCGAACAACGAGCAGCTGGATAATCTGACACAAAATGATTTTTATGACCGGTAGAATTGAAAAAAAAAAAAAAAAATCAACATTAGCAACAATTACGTAGAAAAATGCTGACTAACTGAGCTATCAAAGGAAAAAAAAATTAACTAAGCACTGCTATGAAACTAAATAGACTTCATAAGACATTCGGTTCAAAAAGATTACAGAATATGATTTGGATTACAAAATATGGAGTCACATTTCAAAAAAAGAATCACATAAGGTAAATTTTTAGACTACTAAAATTTTTGATGCAGTAAGGAATTATTCCATTCCCTGGTGTATGCTCTTGTGATTAAGTGCTAGCAATCGAATGTAATCTAG